TTTAAACTGCAATCAATTTAATTTTAATAAGAAATATTATTATTTAATAAATCACTTAGTTTTTAACATATTAATAATATCATCATTATCGATAAATAAAACTAAATAAATAATACATTTTTTTCAACTGCTATATTGCGTCCAATTTTATTATTCTTCACCCATTGAATTTCTCAATTTTAATAATTTTTATAGAAAAAATGATATTTCGCATGCTATCTATGTTAATAATTTTAATAGAAATGCAGTTAGTTCTTTAAACTGAAATCCATAGCAATTATTGGAACATTCTTTCTGTACAGTCGCCTACTCGAATACACGGCAATGTCGATAAGTATTGATAAGCCATGGTCAAGCAATGATAATCTTTATGCATTTCTATATAAATTATGTTTAATAAAAACATCTGGGTTTATATGTTTATTAATATTACATAGGTAAAGGTACTTATTACTTATTAGATAACATTTTAATTTATTCACAATAATTATAATATCAATAAATATATATTTTATACGAGCAGCAGCCCACCGGGAAATTCCCCGTTATTCCGGAAACGTCCAGTCCGCCACTGAATATAGCCCATAATGCAAAGCGCCATAGGAAGGGGCACTTAATATTATTACCACAGTTTGTAAGCATTTTTATAATGCTTACGTGACACTGAATAATTTTTATTTTACAATGGAATGCTAGTCCCAACTCCCAGGTGTTGTCATTATTTCTGCTTTATGTCAATATTAAAAACCTATTATGAAATAAACAGGGTTGACAAAAACCCGGGCTTTATAGAAAAAACCCGGCAGGTTTTACTATATACTACGTTTCTATGATGGCGTTAAGGGGCCTGCACGCGACCTGTTTTTTTGCTCAAAAACATGCCTTACAGGAAAAACTCTCACGCCTCGTAGATTGGTCCGATTTTCGTAATTTTTTTTTGTTAGATTGAGGAAGACTTCTTACAGGGCGCATTGGACTTGGATTTTCAAAATTATTTTTCTAAGTCTTATGTTACAAGTTTGAATTTAATCAATTTTTACAACTTTTTAGTTTTTGTATTATTTTTTGTTTTTAGTGACGTAATCAAAAATCGAAGTCCAATGCGCCCTGTAAAAAATATTCCTCTATCTAACAAAAAAAAAATTACGAAAATCGGACCAATCCACGAGGGGTGAGAGTTTTTCCTGTAAACTGTGTTTTGACCGATATAATACACCCCATCAACCCCCCCTAAATAGGTATTGGGTAGTAGATTAGTGGAAAAGTCTTATAGTTGAGGTGGCAACTAAAATATAAAATTTAATTTTCAAATTTTATAGAATTGCGGAAAATTTGAAAAATCGCGACCAGGCCCCTTAAAACGGTTTAAAACTAAAAAGTTTTATTTGCTTAAACTTGTAAATGTACATTTGATAAACCGGTTTATGCAAATTAAAAATAATATTATCTATGGTGTTACTGTAAAAAAGTATTAATGGGCTGTTTTACGACAAAAAACCCATCGGAAAAAATCGGAATTTTTTCCATGTACCTATATTATAATCCATGTATAGAATAGTAGGAGGCATGGCAAGCGAATGAATGGTTGGGATTTTGAGGTCAGAGTGGTGGGAGAGATTGCTGACGTTTCAGTAAACTCATTCCCGAGAACGTTTCCATTTTATGAAATAACAGGACTGAGACAGCTGGGCGGGCGGGTACGACGTTCTTTGGAGAGGAGTGGCAGAGGACGCCACATCCGTGTGACGTGTTATATCCGTCTCGATCGTTTCATTACTCATCGTATACTCGTAAGTCGTAACTATGGTTATACATTACAGTGGTCTGGAGGGAGGATCTCCCCCCCACCATAAGTCGTGAAATGTTCTGTTTTTACTAATAGGTGAATACATTTTATAATCGTTGGTTAATTGTTACAAACGGTATTCAAAACTAAAATATTTTCGGCCTCCCCCCCCATGGAATCGTCCTGAAGACCTGTATAGTGTTATAATAAATTAATGTCGATACCAAAATACGAATACAACTTACAAGTTCATGGGTTCAACTAATTGGGGGGGGGGGAGGCTTGGGTAACCCAGTTTTATCCAGTAGTCGAAGTTGGGGGTTACGGGGGGATGACATCCGCCTCCACTTTTTTTGTCGAATATAATGTATCTCCCTTATACGTCTTATTTTCATATACTACCAAAAATTGAAAACTGAATAATATATGATAGGCATCCCTCCACGTATTAGAGCCACTTCGACCACTGGTTTTATCTTTAGCCAGGCACGGATCAAGAGCAAAGATCTAGGGGAGGGGGAAACAATTTTTCTACAACACAAATACGATATTATAATAAAATATACTTTATTCTTAATTTAAAAATGTTGTCATAATAATAAGTATAGCCAGTATAGGTAATCAATCATCAATGTGATAAATAAATTATTGATTATTGAATATATAAGGCGACAATGTGAAAAGAAGTTTAGATTTTGTTTATTTGTTATTTAATATAGGTATAATATTTATATTTAAAAAAAAATATCTTGTGGGGGGCCCCCTCTAGATCCATCCCTGTCTGTAGCTGCTACTATATTCTGTGCTATATTTTTGAACGCAATACTTTTCTGATAATTTACAAACCTATGACCCCACAAGCATTATATTTCTCCAATTTTTTATAATTCTATAGATCCTGATATTATATTCCAATCGCAGCTATGTATAAAATATAATATAATGTGGACTGTGAATCCAATTTTTTGCAGATATATGAGATTTTTTCAGTTCAGAATAACAAAAAAAAAATGTAAAAATCACTTCAGTCACGGAGATTGACTGTAATATATATTTTTTTGTCATTAAATAAGTTATTAAATAATGATTCACAAATATCATAAAATAATGTTAGCTTGTTTGTTTCTAAATTAAATTGTTGAATAATGATATATAAATGTAAATAATAATATTATGTTTGTTGATATAGTAGATTTTATTTGTAGATTTTGAACTGTTAGGGTTTATTAAACTTTTAAGATTATGATTTGTCGGGATTTGGTACGTAGGCATTTAGACCCAGACCCATTAAACATAAGTTAAAATTAATTTACTAAGACAATCGACGCTTTTAAAGTTACTTAAATAGTTAAATATTGTTTTGCAATAAAAGAATTTTACACTATTATTATAAAAAAAAAAAGAGTATATGTATATATAATTCTAAGATTTACTATAAACGAATGTGCGACCCTCGAGTTTGGAAACTTCCTGGATTCAGATATTTACATTTTTGTTTGTAAAATTGTATTCAATTATTAATATTTGGACGCTGGGTTATAACAAGAACATACAATTTTAACCCCGTACGTGGACGTGTTAAATAAAGTTACGCCAAGGAATTAAAAAAGAAATAAGAAAATTACATGTATTAAAAAAGCATGAAAAATGGTTTTGTTTCATCACATTTATTAAATCATTTGGATAACAAATACCTATCAATATATTTATCACAACTGTTAGGTTTATTTTTATAACTTATCTGTCCTCCAACTTGTATGATTACTACATTTACACAATACAAATATTGTTAATTCAAAACTAAAAATATTGCAATTTATACAATTACACCATTACTTACAAATGTTCAACAATAAAAAAAAAAATGATAAAAAATAAATAAAATGCTTATAAAAGTAATATTTTTGTTTAACCTATTATTTACATTTTGATACCTAAAAAAAAAAAATGGAGGGAATTTACACATTATAAGATTAATTTACATTGAAAGTTATAATTGTTTTACCATACATACAAATAAAAGCCTAATGATTAAAAAAAAAAAAACAATGTGTTGTTAACTAACAGTTTTCAGTTAGTGAAAAGTTAACTATTTTATGATAACCGATTAATATTGTTGAATAAATTAAACAGTTGACACAAAACATTATTATTTAGAACATAATTTTCTTTATATGCACTACATGATCGATTGTTTTCACATAACAAATCAAATGATTCTACGTTTAATTAAGAAAAGATAATGTTTGGACTTAACACAAAATTTGCATTTATTTTGTAGTAAAATGGATCTTAATTTAGTTTATTTAATATTAAAATATGTACTTATTTTAATAATCATTGATCTATCATTTTGGATGGTATATATATTCAACTTCCTAACTTCAAGGAATGGTTTGATGTTAAAATATATTTTTAATCAAGAATAAAAATGTAATATTTTTAGTTTATGAAACTAAAAAAATAGAAATTTATCAATAATATACAATTAAATAAAAATAAAGTATTTATAATTTTGTAAAATATTACAATACAAACGATTCCACTTATCATACCAAAACAATTATTAATTTGGGAATTGTGTAAATTATTAAAAAAAAAAAATAAATTCAGACACTCAAATCTAAGTGCAGTTGGTATTTCATGGGTAGACTTTAAAAATAAAATATAATTTATAAGCATAGGAAGTTTTTATAAAATACACACAAAATTATTTTGAAAAGACACATATAACAAACAAATATTAGTACAAATAATTGTACTATTAGGTTAAATTTATTAAATAATAACAAATGAGCTGTATAATAAACTTACTTTTTCAGAATATTATAAATTTTAATAAGACAATAATTATGCGTTGTGTCAACCAATCAGATATTTTAGTTTTTTAGAATATAAATGGTTGGTTTTTAATTTATTACTATTGTGTCCCAAGAATTAGTAACCATTTATAGACTATTATGATAATTAAATGAAAAAGTTATACACAAATACTTATTTCATACGTACATTTTATGCAACAAATATAAAATGTAATGTAGACGATGATACACTTACTTAACAAGCAAAACATTAATAAGTTTTGTAGTAGAATTACTTTGTATGATTATTAATGTTAAATTGGGTTAACAAGTAAAAAATAAAAACAAACTAGACTAGATTTTTAAACATAAAAATCTTTTTAAACACATATGTACCCTGTGTTATGGAAGAACTAATCCTCATCAGACATCGGCTCATATTGGGCTGTTAACATAGACCCACCACCACCACCATTTGGATCAGATGATTCATTATTTTTTTGTGTAGCAGATGCAGACATATTGATTGCAGCTGAAAATGGATAAGTGTAAGCCTGTTCATTTTTGTTGTCATCGTCTGAAGTACGCATTACTTCAACAATCCGATTTTTAACATAGTCTAAAGGCGATAAAGGTATATCCGCTTGTGTTGGATAAAAGCGAACTCTACTGTTGTCATCTTTCATTTGTTGTTCAAATTCTTTCTGTTGTAAAGCTCGGCGAAGCTTCCAAGTATGAGGCTCAAAACCTGCAGCTAACATATTATTAAAGGGATATTCTTTAAAAGGATGTTCAGGTGGATATGGTTCTCCTGGACGACTCATTTCCGGACTGGCTCGTGGTTTTAAATTTTGTTTTTCATTTGCTTCTGGGAACGCCTATAGAATATAAAATGTTAATAAATTATTTAAGTTTAAGATATTAAAATAGTAATTACATTTATTTTGAAACTTACTTGAAATAACTTATCACCAGCTCGTTGCTGTTGAACGTGTGCCTGATTGGTGACTGGAACAGCATTAGGAGGATGTCCAGTTCCATCATTACTCTGATTTATTTGATGTGTGATAATGGCGTCAATTAAATTAGCTGCAGTTAACGCATGAGGTTCGGTTCCTTGTCTTGAAACTCTACCACTACCAGTATTATCTCTACTAAAAAAAAATGTACTTGTTAGACATTAAAATAATATATATAATTGCATCATATCGATTCTCATAAAACCAGAAATTAGTTATACTTTTGTATATTGGATGATGGTTCTTGATGCCTAGATACTGGAGTATTTGATCTTGATTGTTGAAATGAAGAGACAGTAGAAGGTATTTGCATTACTCTTGGTTGTTCTTGTTGCCGTTGTTGTTGCTGTTGTTGTTGTTGTTGTTGAAACGAAGCAGCGACCATTCTTGAATGTTGTTCAGGAGTAAGCCGATGATGCATCATTTGCTTATCTCTAATATACTGATCTCTTTGCTGCTGTTCTCTAATTTGTGCAACTGCTTGCATTTCACGCTCCCTTTGCACAGCTATTTCACGTTCCCTCTGCATATGCTCGTGTCTTTGTTGTTCTCTGTACATATGTGGTTTTGGTACTGGAGAACCTCTTACATAACGATCTTGTTCTCTGTGTCTATCTTCAGAATGATTTAAAGGCACAGGTAAGCTGGGCTGTCTTATTGCAACATCAACCAAAGATCCTAGTGCTTCATGTCCTGGAGGATAAGTTTGTGGAGATGCTGCTTTAGGAGCCGTGTTATGACGTTGTATTACACCTTGACGAGTTGGTTGATAGTACATCGGACTAGTAACTGGAGGTTTTTGAACTCGAGGAAATTGAGCAGCAACATTAGAATGCATTTGCTGTGAAGTAATATAGTCATTCATAATAATTTGTCGTTGCTCACTATAATGAGGCTGTCTTGATTGATATTGAGGCTGAGGATTGCGTTTTTGATAATAATCTGCATTCATATTTTGATTTGAATTGTGTAACATACGTTGATGAACAGGAGTACCTTGAGTAATAGAACCACCAGGAGCTTGTGAAGGCTGAGAATAACGATTAGATTGTGGTGGCATGTATAAAGTAGCAGCTGAGACAGGTGTACCATGCATGATGGATCCAGTAGCTTTTGAGTTATTTAATATGTTAGGAGATAACTTTGATGAAACAACGTTTGCTACAGATAATTGAGGTGATGTTACCTATTAAAATAGATAAACAAAAATAGTTTAATCAACTTTAAGTAAATAAAGAGCACAAATTCTAATAATCAAACCTTATTGGGTAGTTTTATGTGCGATGTTTGTTTTACAGTTACATGAGGAACAGACTGCGATGGATGGACCATGACATGATTATTTGCTGGTGATATTTTTGTCCAATATATTTCACCTTGCTTGCCACTTCGTCCCAATTCGGCATACTGAAATACATTACAATATAATAACATTTTTACAAATTATAAAACTAAGTTACCTGTGGAGAATAAAACGTATTTGTTTCATGAATCTGTGTGGGAGGAGTTCTGTACATTGCACCAGGTGGTGGTGGAGGTTGTGCATGTCTAATTGGCGGAGGATCAGAATAAGAATCTCCTTCTCTGGGTCTTTTGATACTTAAATCAAGAGTTACACCTTCGGGAACTCTAACTTCAGACATTTTAGAAGATTGTACTTGAACTACTACTAAACCATCTTTGTTGTGTAGTTCCCGAGAGGGTGGAGGAACCACTGATATTGTAGCCATTGACTGTTGTTTGTTTTCATTATTGCTAGATCCTATATTTCTATCTTTAATTGGATATTCAGGATCTAAAAGAATGGATGATATGGTAGGCATAGATCCATTCTCCTTCTATAAATATATAAAAAGAAACAAATAAGAATAATCAGCAAAAAAAAAAATACATAATATGTTAATTATATAATTATAATATTATAATATGTTAAGATATTTTACCTCTCGGTTAGAATGTTCTTTTGTAAATTGTTTTTCAATTACATCAGATAAAATATCTGACACACTTAAATCAGTTACAATCTTTTCTTTTTTCTCAGATTCATTATTGGAATGTTGCAACACATTAGACTCATTTTCAGCTGTACCTCCAGTTCCTTCATCTGCAGTTTCAGTAGCTGAACTATCATAATCTTCTTTAACAACAGTAGATCGAATAGAATTTTCACTATCATGGGACTCTTTAGCAGTCAATTTTATTTGTGGCGGACTAGTTGTATCACGTGGAGGAGATAATTGTGGTAAAGTGTTTGTTGGTGAAGGTGCACTTTGAGTATCACTGTCACACAAAACAAGGTTAGTCTCATCACAGCTAGAAGTACTTGAACCTGACTCTTCTTCATCTGTTAGAGCAGGCTTTTGTTCACTACCATTTGTCTAAAAGAATTGATAAAACTTTTTTTAGTTTTTTTTTTTATTATTATTTGGAGTTTAATAAAAATTATAAATTTTACCTTTTTAAACTCCTGTACCAAAAGGTCTAGACCTAGTTTTTTTCTGAAGCTAAAATAAAACTCTTTGCACTGATAGTGGCTTTTATTTTGTCCAACTAATTTACTTATTTCACTCCAACGAGTACCATGTTCTCGAATTCCTTTTTTTAATGCATTAGTCTCTTCATCGGTCCAGCCATCTAAAGTATCAGTATTAATATTGTTTGATGTTCCTACTACTCCAAGTGCCATTAATCGTCTTTGGATACGATTAAAGCAAGCTGAACAACATTTTGTTGTTGTTGGACCAATTTCTAAATAAAATAAAAATGTTTTAATTTAAATAATAAAACAATGATAAACAATTAACTTACGAAATTCTGAAGCAATGATATCTTGAGCCGTATTCCATTTAGCAGGTAAAGGGCGCAATCTTTTAACTGGTCTTCTATTATTGGTTTGAACAGTTGGGCAGGATGGTAATGGACAATATATTACACGGCGATTTTGGGATCGAACCACTTTACAACGGCAAGTATTACAAACCCTAGCACCAGGAAGAATATCTTCTGGCTTCACACCATATTGTGCTGCATCTGATGGATTTAGAGTCCTGGGACATGCCACATTTTCTGCTTTACAAACCGCACACATACCTTTGGGTACATCTCCTTTTGACCCAGTTTCATCTATAATCATATGCCACTAGTAAAATAAATGTATGGATGGTTTGTTTTGTATATTGTGTTTTATTTAATTAATTTAACAAATAATGAGAAATTAATATTTTTTTGCATATCAGTGTAATATTTGTAGGTTTAATAAAATTAATATTTTAAAAACAATTTACATTTTTATATCAAAAACTACAAATCAAGTCGTAGTTTTATAGAAATTATACTTAGTGTTTATAATTTAGGAAGGTTATAAAAATATAAAGAAATATTTTAAATGCAACAATCATAATTAAAACCTTATTCAAAGATGAAAGCCAAGTCTATATCACAAGTTATATAAAAACTATTTCGAAAATATGCGAAACAAATATGTATTTATTTAAAATTAATACAATAAACAAATAATGATTGCATACTGACATATGTGTTTAAATGACAATCTACTTAAATCAAAAATATGCTTTAGTCTTACAGACATTGATGAAATTCTGTAGGCCAAAGAAAAATATAAAAATTATTTAATTTTTTATTGTTAGAGTATGAACATTTAACATTCCTTACAAAGGCTGAAGAAAAAAAAATTGAATAAACTAAGCAATCAAAATCATTTGTGAATTTCTATACAAAAAAAATATATTTTGATTAAAATGGTACATTCAAGAGCCATCTATACCCTTCATTAAATAATGGGAACATTGAATAGCAACCCTTCAATAAATTGGTCTTCTGGTTTCTTTTTGTAGTTGGCCAAGTCCAAAACTCGCTTTATTGCAAAAGTCTCTGCAAAATCATAGTTAGGTGGTTGTAACTTGTAGACAAGGGTGTATAACAAGAAAGTGATGATGTGAGGGTTTTATCTCCCCATAGACGTTTAACAAAATTTGTAAAAATAGTGTTCTTAGTGTTAGGGAATTGCAAGAAAATATTAAAAAAAAATTAGGATTTTTGTAAAATTGTTATTTTGTTACATCCAACAAACGGCATAATATATAATTTATATTACACAAACAATAATTTCATAAATATGATTATTGCAAGAATAAAATTAGACCAAACGACCATTGCCAATAACAACACTGTAAAAACAATGCCTGCTTGTCCATGCGGCTAATAATATATTTTCCTACATTAGAAAATGCTTTAAGAAATAATAATAGAATGATTGGTTTTAAACTAATATATTGTTCATTTTGTATTACCAAGAACAATAAACATACCTATCAAATACATATTGGTATTAGGGATAAAAAAGTTATTAATGAAAAAAAAAAAATTTAATTTTGTACTATAATGGTGTAATTTAGGGGTCTTTTTAACTTTTTGTGGGTATGCTAATAACTAGGAAGGCCAATATATTATATATTGTACTAGTTTTTACAAAAAAAAATTTTCTTACTACACAACAAAATCTTATGTAATCTTATTTGAATTTTAATATGTTCCATGGATTAATATAATAATATATTATCAATATTGAATACCTAATAATACTAAGTTAGTACTTATATTTAAATATTTTGACACTATTGTACCTAAAAACGTATAATTTTTTTTTTCAAAAGTTTAGACCAAGGAGTTCTAAATTACATTATAAATACATAAATAGAGTATATAAAACAAATCACCTCAAATAACGCATGTTAACCATACCAATTTCTACTGCCTTGTGCAGAAACCTACCAACTGAAATTACTCTTAAATGAGTGTATCAGAATGTGGTTTGAAATATATTATTTCTTATCTTTAATTTCTATATTTTCTTTATTATTAAAAACTTAAAAATATGAAATACAAAAATAAAAAGCAATTCACTTTTTAATGTTAATTTGATGTAATAAATACAGCGGCATAAACAAATTCCCTAGAGTAGGAAATACTATTCCCCCAACCGTATACACATTTGTGTTAGCAGTGCATAATTGAACAGACTTCTCATATTCCAGAGGGTATTAAAGCTAATTGAAGAGTATAAATTGTTGGGTAAATAATTTTTCATTTTCACAGTTTGCCAATTAAATTGAATAGGTATTTAACGTTTTTGCTGATATGCAAAAAGCTAAAATAATTTTAATGCGTATTCTTTTAACTAATTAAGTTAGTAATGTTTTTAATCCCTTGAGTCTTAGAAAACTTTTATGCTTAGAAACTATTAATTATACTGTAACATTTATATAAACTCAGTAAATAATGTATAATAAATTAATAAATCATTAAAATATATATAAGAATTTTATTTTTTTACCCAAGTAAAATAATAAAATATAATAATGAAATAATAAAATAATTGTATAAAAACAATAATGTTTAAAATAAAAATTAAATATGCTTGGATGCATTTCATAATACTAAGATATAAAACATTTAATATTTAAATGTATGTGCATTATTCAACAAACATTTTTAACTTTTGTAAATTGCTTTGTACTATTTAAATAATATACTAATTCAATATAATAGATAATTTAATTATTGTATGTTCAAGAAATCTTTTTTTTTCTATTGTATTTTTAATATCATGTTGTCTAATATTTATTTTTAAATACTGATAGAATATAATTTGAATACCCTAATTAATTAAAGGTTAAAGAAATACTCATGGGAAAACAAGATAAACAAGAGGGTACATGGATAACGAGGTAGTAAATATTGCCAGAACGAGAAACAGTTATGAGTGGTATTCAAATTAAACGAACCGGAAAAGCTGCTAGAGAGAGCCTCTCGTCAACCAATAGGGGCTCCACAGACTTTACCACAGATGAATATTTTAACAACAATCATTATTTCAGTTTCATTACGATACTACCAACAATCATGTACCGTTTTATGGCACCTGATATAACTATCTATGTAATGTCTTCAAATAACAGATTTCGTGCCTTTATATCTCATCGAGAACTTCTTGCACAGTACAGTGGTTATTTTAAATCATTACAAAATTGTGAAACAAATAAAGTATTTTTTCCTAACATTAATGATGATACTTTTTCAATTATATTGTCATACATATATACAGGAGTGCTTAAAATAAACAATGAAAATATACATTCAGTTCTTTTAGCTACACATACTCTTCACATGCCACAAGCATCAGATATGTGTCGACAATTTTTAGTAACTCAAGATCAAAATATAATAAAACCAATCGCAAAACTACCATCATTTGTAGATGCATCAGTAATACAGCAGCCAAATGAAAATAGAACACTAAAAATATCAGAAGAATCAAATTTCAAGCCACCAATTCGCAAAGAAAATATAATTTTGGATATAGCAAGTTGTGATGGACCAGTTCAGTTTTATAGAGTTCTTAATGAAAACTATAAAGGCGATGAAAGGAGATCAACACTAAAACAGTCATATAACTGTGAATATTGCAATCATCCATTTAAAAGTAAGTACTGCTATGAAAAACATATTAATAGACACCTAAATATAAATATGATTGATAATAAATCGGAAAAAAAAATTAATTCTTCAATTCAATATTACCCATGCAGACAATGTGGATCAAAATTTCCAAGTTATTATTTTGTTCACAAACATAAAAAATATTGTAAAATAAATATGTCATAATTTTTTTATTTTTTTCAAAAAAAACTGCTTATTTAAAAACAAATATTAATTATAATAATAACTAATAACAAAATCAAAAGTATGACTTACGTTGAGAATCCATTAGTTCTTCATCAGTCGTACTTGTATTTTCTCCTTTTAATATTGATTTATCATCTTTTCGTCTTTCTTTCTTTTTGGATTCAGGCTTTAATTCACTAAAAAATTATTTCATATCATTGTTGTATATTAATAAAGTACACAAGAAAAAGAATATAATAACAACTTAAATTTGATAAATTTAATTGTAGGGTAGTATAAACAGAAAACTTAATAGTATGCTTGAAATGAAATTACCATATTTTGTATGTTATTTAAATAACATCTAAATAAATGATATTGTTGTGGAATTCATTAATCAATGTATGCACAATGTATTTTTTATTTTAGGTTTATATAGATTTAATTAATGTATTAAAAATTATTAACTATAATATATAATGTAAGAAGAAAATATGTAATCTTTATTGATGAACTTGTTATATTTAATTAATGTACTATTATACTGTAGTAATATATGATACATGATAAAATAAACTATTATCATAAAAAAAAACATAACTATAGTTTTACTCATTGATTATTTCAAACCAAATAATGTTCCTTTCTTTTATTAGTTATTATTAGAGCCTGGAAGTTCATGCATTAAAAAGTATCAAAATATGCGCTTGAAATTACTAAAATATACACTAAATATGAATTAAAATTTTTTTTTAAGTTAGGATTTTTAAGTTTTTGGTATAAATAATAATGAGAAGGAGAAAAAGATACAAAAATTAATTAATATGAAGTATTTTCTATTGATTTTATACCTTAGATATACAACTTAACCTTCTGCTCAGACTCTCAGAATACTATTGAAATGTGGTATTCAACACAGCGAGACTCTACAATTTTTGATGTGGGAAAATATAAAATAATTCATTGAAACATATCATGAATACTTGGAATTACTGATTGTTTCCACAAGTAAACATAATAGTTCTACGGATCTGGTGGCGTATTCGAGAATATAACGATTAAGGTTTTCATTAAATTTTATCGGGATATACCTAACACAAATATATGTAGTACTGCCTTATTTAAGAGGACACCATACAGATATTTGTTGTCTCCGTCTTTAAATGCGTAACATGGGAAATTTACGCTCAGCAGATCATGTTTAGCTCCATTAGTTTAAAAATTAGAGTGAATCGACATATTATGAAAAATGAAACTTTATGGAGAGATCTGCTTGTATGTGAGTTTTTTTATGATAGTTAAAATTTTTAGCAAGTTATACGTACATAATATAAAATTAATTAAAAATGCACATAACTTACTTAAAAACTGAACCATCATAAAAAACCCATACAAACACAGATAATGTTCTTATCATCAATTTTCATAATAGGTCAATTCACTCTAATTTAACTAATGTAGTTAAACGTGATCTGCTTAGCGTACATGTTCTATGTTACGCACTTTAAGATGGAGACAAAAATAATATCTGTATAGCGTCCTCTTAAAACAGGTTTTTGTTTATTATACACTAAAATGAAATTTTATTTAAAATATGCAATTTAAAGAAAAAAATCTCAAAATATGCAAAAATATGCAAATAAAAATTGCATTGTTGAACTCATTGGGTTGTGATTCAAATTTGTAGCTGATCCAGCAACTTTTTGAAGTACTCAGTTTAAACATGCAAATGCATTAACTTCCGGAACTTAGTAATTATATAAATTGTATTATTATACTTACAAAAATTTGATATATTACAATCACGCAAAAGACCAAAAAAATAACAGAAAATTTGTGGTGACCATTAAGAAGTTCTACTGTATATAGTAATCTACCCTTTATTTATTTGTTTAAATTAAAACCTTGAATGATCTTATCAAGTAATATTGGTCATTTTTTAACATAGGTAACATCAATTGTATTTACCTTGTGTGTGATGTAACAGATGTCTGTATCAAATTTTTAACAGATTCATTACTTTGATCTTTATTTGTTAGTGAATTTTCAGTTTCATTATTAGCACCTTGTTCAGTAGCAACTTCTACTTCTACAGATGGTGGAGTCTCTTCATTTTCAGGTATTGCATTTTGAGCTGCTGAAATTTGTGCTAAATTTGATGATGCTGCTTCACTGCCTTGACGCTCTCGTTGAAGTCTAGTTGTAACACCAATAGAAGTAGAATTTAAAATATCTAATGAATTCAATGAACTATTTGCAGGTGTTCGATTTTGAGCAGTACGACGCCTTGCTTGCCATTTAGCTTTGCCTACAAAATTTAATTATTTTTAAAGGGTTTAATTTAATTGTAGTATGTTTAAAATTAAAGCTTACGTAATAATCTTTTGTACTCTTCTTTGGGCTTGCTTAAATAATAATATTGTACGCAATCAGAAGGACATTTTTTATCCAGATAAGATGCTATTGCACCAAAATTTTTGGGATGAGCAATAAAACGATCTTTAAACACTTCTTTTTCTTGTTGTGTCCAAATATTGACATACTTTCTCTCATTATACTCTGTTTTATAATCCAACACAAGTCCATTGTTGTTTAAGTAAGTTAAATGTCGTTCATGAGGGTCTAACATTAGTGGTGGTATAACTGCGTAAGACCTCATTTTTTTGTCTTCCATCTAAATGTAAATATTAAGTGTAATTATTTAGAATTTATAATACGTCTTGGTCTTCCAATATTGCAACTACTTGATTATGCAGTGGACTACCACTAATTATCAAAATTTGATTGTCGTAACTACCATACCTGACCATTGAATTTTATAAAAAGGTAATATGACAATTTTTAATTAATTACCCAACATGGGTTTATAAAAAAATGTAATTTAAAATCTTTTAATACAACTGATTTTGATGCTACATAAACTTAAAAAAAAAAGCCTATTAATTGTGTAGTTGTGATAACCTAATTTAGATAATCAATAAATCATAAGTAGCCGCATAATTGAAATGTACTGAATTAATCTGTAGAAAGTTAATTAACTACAAATTAATTTCAGTTATTTTAAATTTTTAGAAATTTACCTCCTGTTCTTGTAAACCATCCATAATCTCTTCTAAATCTGCCTCACTTTTTATACGAGCACCGACCCTATTAAACCTTTCTTTATCTTCACGGGCTTTTCTTAATTCAGGGAATACTTTTTCAAATAGTTCTCTATGTTTTGCTTCTTTTGCTTTTCGTTTTTGAGAGCTTTCAACTTTTTCAACTCTACGTATCCAATCCTTATAAAGTTTAGAATAAGTATCAGTAATTTCAGTTTTCTTTTGTAGTTGTTCCATTTTCTTTTTTCTTAGATGTTCCAATAATGTGGATTTAAATAATGAATACCTAACAATAAAATGATTATTATAAAACAAGATAATAACATTAAGGAAATTACTTTTTTGCACAAGTACATACCAACTTCTTTCAAATAATTCTTTATTAGGGAAGTTAAGCAAGTATAGACGCAAATTATAAGTTATTTGGGAGGACACTCACATGTTTGATCTGTCTTACAGATGAATCTATTACACTCTATTTAATATTGAGTGAATTGACTTAATATCTGATTGAAAAAAAAAAGTGTTGTCTAGGACCCCACATGGGCTTTATATATTTTATTTAGAAGTAATGAGCATATACAAATTTATAAAAAATTTAAATTTATATCATAAAAAGCCTACTTCACCTTAAATTGTATACCAATTCATCCTGATAATAAAAATAAAATTAATTGGATTCTTTCAAACATGATGTTTGGTTTATCGAATTTATAAAGAAGAATACAAACTATACAAAAGCAAAGTGTTCTTTCTTCATATTTTAATATTAAAATGAATAATTATAAGTATTTAAAAGATTAATTTTTTTAATTTTATTCAAATTCACTAACAAATTTGTTAGTTTTAAAACAAATTTTATTGAGTTAGCTTTAATATTGTGAATTTACTTCTAATCAAACTTATAGAAGAGGACATTAGCTGTGTTAATGTGGGTGGTTCAAAATTAATACAAGTTTCAATTTTAAGGAAATACAACTTTTTCAAATTGTTTTTAAATTAAAATACTGTTAGAAAACTAACAAAATAATAATAATTGAATTCAAATTATATAATATTCATTTACTTAATTAAGGCAACACAAAATAAGTTATGATAATTGTAAAATGTTTGAAGTTGTATATAACAAATCCTGGTATAACTTCTTAACCCAAGTTTAAATGTATGTATATGACCGCATTTAAAAAAATTGTATTCATAAACTATATTTTCTGTATTTTTTAGGACAATATAATAATATTGTATACATAAAAATTATTTTTTGTTGTTATATCAAGTGTTATATAAATATTTTAAATGAATATTATCAATTTATTATTTAATTTAATATTAAACAGTATTCTTACTTTCTTCTGTTCTCGTGATAAATATCAGCATCTGATGGTTGATTATACAAAGGCTGCCAAAAAGAAAATAAATTTTACATTTAGAATATTAAGAAAAAATAATATATTTATTATTGCCACATCATTTGTTTATTTTGAGTGTAACATAAAATAATAACAATAACAATAATAATAATAAATTATAAATTATCATTTTATAATATATATTTATGAAAACATGAAAATAAATTTAAAATAAAAGAATAAAGTAAAATTGGTATACACATTAAAAGTAAATACTTTTTTTGTTATAAACTATCAAAATTAATAAAACAAAAATATACTTACAAGATCGGTTTTATTTGCAAATTTTTCAAGGCTCATTCTCGATTCTAATGCTTTTTTCTAAAATTTAGTTTAAAAAAACACAAAAATATTATATATTTTAGAAGACCAATAATGAAACTTAAAATAAATATTAAAAACACTGTGTCTAGATACACAGGGGTCCGGGAGTGATAAGAGAAAATGGTGAAGTGGTTTATACGGCTTTTACCATGATTTTTTTTCTTAG